AGGCCAAACCGGGAGCAGACCACCTCTGATGTGTGTGTGTACACACACACACGCACACACACACACACACACACACACACACACACACACACACACACACACACACACACACACACTTATAGGCTACCACTTTTTATTATACATGTCTTAGCTGATATGAGTGAAATGGCTTCATTATTGTGAACTGGCATTTGGGTAAGATTTATTGCAATATTAAAACTTTTTGATGGTTGGAACGGGGAGAGTGTTTTCGCTATGCAGAATTACATTAGCTTGTTGGGCTTTAAATGTATTTTGCAATCTATCGTTTTCTTATTTTTCTCTCTATGATGTATTACTGAGAGTAAAGGTTGCTTTATTGATGTGATATACAAAGGTTATTATATCAATATGTTGCAGAGAAAATGCAAGCGAAGGAGAGTGCAGAGGAAAAATTTATCTGAAGCTGTTTCCAATAAGTGGCGCCATGGTATTCTGAAGTGGGTATCTCCATCCCACTCACCGGCTAAAAAGATTGTGATTGCTGTTTGTTTTTTCTCGATTTTTCTCCACCATTTACCTCAGCAGTACCAATTGCCAGCAAGCTAACTTTCACACTGGACTCAGATGCCTTCTTTCAGACTAGTCACAAAGGGAAGAGGAAAAATTTTTCCTGGCTGAGGAGAGGATCAGCATCCAAACTCCAAATCCACCAGACCATTTAAAGAGTAGACTTTTTACAATTATTCAGGAAAATCAACCATACCCCCATAGGTCTGAAAGATCTAAAATCACCCATGGCTGTTGATTCTCTAAAGGCAGTGACACTGTGTTCATAAAACCTCTAAGAGACTTGGAGGCAGCATGAGGGCCTAAGGTTGACTGGAGGCAAACTGGTGGGCTTACTGCTTACTGTACTTTTTCTCAGGAGTTCCAAACCTGTTCACAATTGACTTAATGGATGCTATGGTAACGTTGGCTTTGGAACTCATAGCAGACACAGGATCAGACAATACCCCCAAACATCCAAAGGAGTACAAAATGAAAATCCCCAAATGCAGAGATGGCAAAGTGATATCTCTCTAGTCACAAAAGCCTTCCTGGATACTTCAGTCTTTGTCAACCTTTCCAACACTTTCCACCAAACAAGTATCTCATCTTATGTTTTCATAGCACAGAGAATTCAAATAGATAGGGACAAAGTAGCCAACATGCCACTTTTGTGATTGATGATAATCTGAATAGTGTCCATTCTCAGCCAAGGGTTTGCCAGCTTCCACGACTACCAGAAGACAATTTTGGCTGAAGAACTGGAACATAAACTTTAAATTAAAATATATTAAAATTTTTATGCTACCTCTACCCAAGAATCTGATCTGCTGTCAAGTCAAATTGGCACTAGATAAGAGACAAAAGAACTTAAGTTTCCTGGACTTAAGTTTCTGAGCATAAAGATTTTAAACTAATGATGCATTTGATCCTGCTTTTGGGCGGCAAAGGGAGGCAATGATGGATGGCATCAACATTTGCAATTTATGGGGACTAATTATGTCTTTCTGAATTCCTACCTTATCAAGTGCTATTTCTCTTTATGACTTGCCATTCCAAAGCTGGGCAAGGGGCAATTATCTCTCACAGAAATTGATACCATTTTTGGAAAAAGAACCTTCATACTAAATTCAGCAACTATTTTTGATTAAAGAAAATATGTTTCCTTATTGTAAAAACAATCAGATTTAAAAGGAAAAGCAACTGAAGTTCTTTTCAAGTAGCATAAAGACATTGTGTGCACTTTGGCTAAATTGCTTCTGTATTTTACTCTAACTGAACTTATTTGTTCAGTTCCGGCTTTTCTTTCCTCCAGGAATTTAAGATGGCATTCTTAGTCTTCAACCAGTGGCAGCATCTGCCAAACCTTGCTGGGTTTGGAAACTAGAATGGGACCTACACCACCAAAGAATTCTAGTGCTATGACCTATAGGCTGGAAATTTTTTTAAAAATTAAACATCTTGGAAAAAGGTTATAGCCAAGAAATTTTATGGATGTGTTCATATAAATTACCAGGGTATCCTTAACTTTTTACATGTTTGTTCTCTCTGTGTGAGAAAAAGACTTCACCTTAGTCAGATCATGATTGAAAAATAGTTAAATCTAGATCCTATGCTAATCCTTTAATCATTATTTACTCTTGATAGATAGATAGAATGTGATTGTATATGAGAGAATTTATCAGTTGTCTAGACTATCCAACTTCAAAATGATATTGGGTGCCTTCACATTTTTAAAAAAAAGCAAACAAAACAAAACACAAAACATCAAAACAACAATTGTCTAAGGGAATAATCAACTACCATAACCTTCAACATTATCCTTAACTTAAAGGATTAGTCGGCTATGATATAAATGGTATAAGTTTGAATGGCTTGTAATTTATTGTGATTAGGCTTTTTAAAAATCCAATAAAGGATATACAGTAGTACTATAAATAGTGTAAGAACACTTATATTTAAATGTGTTTTCCCTGCATACATTACAACACAAGCAAAACAGATTTGAATGGTATTTTATTGAATACATCTGCTTTTGAAATACATATATATTCAGGAATTTTGATAAAGCAGAATTCTAGAATATCTTAGGCGGGAGACTACCTTCAAGCCAGTGTTGACCCCTGGAGATATCTGGAGAAGTCCTTCCAATTTTCTTGAAAAGATTTCAGAAGTGGTTTGCCTTGCATCTTTCCTAGGACTGAGAGAGAGTAACTGGTACAAGGTATTCAGCCCAGTTTAGCACTAAGGCAATATTAGAATTCATGGTCTCCTGGCTTATAGCCCAGCACCTTTAACCTCTACACCAAAATGGCTGTTTAGAAGAACTTATTCTTTAAAAAAAAAAGCAAAATGTTATCTAATTAGGTGTTTAGACATTAGGCAGCTTGACATTAGCCTTTATGGTTACTAACACATGCACAGGGCAACGTAGGTAAACAAGAACTTCCTAATTTTTGAAATAGTTTTAAAATAATGGAATGTATCTGGATGTATGATCACTGCAAGTTCAGAGATGTTCCTCATAACGGCAGTAAAATATTAGGCTGCCTAGACCTACCTAATATTAACATTCCTAATGAAATATGGTGAAAAGATGCAAAATCATGGCTTAAAATGGATTTGCAAATTGTGACTTGTGAGTAATCAATGTTATATTACACCTGTCTTGGTGGTGGGGGTGGTGGAAACATTTTTAGAAGCTTCCTTGCCCTTGAAGGTGTTCTGCATGGTGACAAGAGATATTCTTATTACTGGCTTCCTATACTAACTTCATTCAACGTTATAAAAATCACTTCTTAAATATTACTTACAAATTACTTAAATTTTAATCAAGTGGCTGAAATTTTACAAAATTAACAAATGTTAAATTGTTTTGCATTTTAATTAATTCTGTGGGTACAATCTAGTGGTTTATCCAACATGCAATAAACTATAAGGACTTACCATGGACAGAAATCCCCGCAACAGGGTATTGAGCAAAAAAGGTGGGTTTAGTTGAACTTCAACATTTCATAATGCTTTTTATTAAATCAATACATTACTTTAAAAGAATAATAGAATAACAGAGTTGGAAGGGATCTTGGAGGTCTTCTAGTCCAACCCTCTGCTCTAGTCCAACCCTCCTACTTTGATTATAGTCAGGGCTTGTTAATAAGATCTAAATGTATAAAAAGTTCTACATTTGTTGGTTTGAGAACTAATATCAGAGAAGGAATATTGTATATTTATGTTACCATTGGGTCTTGGGAGTGTAGAATATCATCTTTATACACCTTTATATACCATCGTTATATACTTTGGCATGCCCATGACCTGCCAAACCCTTTAAATCTTCGCAACTCTAAAAACACTAAGAATATAGAGTTGCTTGCAAAGCCTATCCTGCATCCTTCAGTCATAGGTGCATCATAAAGAAAGCTCAACCTCATTATGGAAGCTTCTATAGTACATCTCCTGTGCTGTATCAGCACCCAAAGGTTCAATGTGCAAAGAAATTCCATTCCTCATCTCTTTCTGATTCCACTTCAGGCAAAATTTGCCAGAAATCCATTACAAAAGCCATGGTTTTTTTTAAAATTTCTAGTCTACCCCGCCCTAAAAACAACAGCACTTAAAGATAAAAGGCTCTCATTATGGCGCTAAATCCACTGCATGCTACGTTGCTGAGAGATAATTGCTTTCTCAAGGCTACTCAGTGAATTCTATAATCCTGTCCTTTCACTAAAATAGGAGGTATGGCTGCCTTTTTTGACCTAGAGACCTCCAGATGTAAATGCCCAGAAAAACAGCTTGCATAATTCCTTGCCCTGGGGTGAACAGGGTGGGGACAATTGCTCTGGAAGCAGATTCCTGTTTCCTACATGAAGAGGAGACGTATGTCCTTTCAGAATGGAAATGGCAGAATTCCTTCCCTGAATACACCAAAGTGAATGAGAAATACCAACCTGTGTGGGTTTGACTGAAATTGCTGTGCCTATTATGATATTTCTATTGTCGCTCTTGTGAACTTGTTTTGTCATTTTGCATGTTGTTATTTTGTGTTTTATTTTTCTTTGGGATTACTAGGAATTGTTTTAATTCAGCCAGTTAGATTGCTTCTCCAGCCAAGTGAGAGTGCTGATGGTGACTGGAAGCATGCATCATACTTAGCTATGGCTTCTTGTAACAACAGTTGGTTGAAAAAGCCATAATCATTGGCTACAGGTTTTACAAACCACAATAGTTGGTTCATGCAACATGTTAAGCACAAACTATGTATGGTTTAGCATGATGCGTGAACTCAACAGTTGTATTGTGTTTAGATAGAGGATAAACATTTGACAGTCCTGATTGCTGTGTCAAACTTCAATGTCTAGTGATGTCTAGATAATTAGAGAAAGATGTTCTGTTATGGCCTGAGCCTTCTTGAAAATGTAAGTTTGAAAGGGTATTTGATGTTTGAATTTTAACTGTGCTCACCTTTCATTCAGAAGTTGGTGTTGTTTTTGAAGAAACAGAGGCCTGCGATTGGTGGAGTTTGGGTGCCCTTCTCTTTGAACTCCTTACTGGAACGGTAGGGTGTGCCTTTAAAGAAAAAAGTATGCTATGTCTGAATCATACAGAAAATTAGGGAATTAGTTCTAGATTGTAAATATCCAAAGGCAGCTAAGAGATACAGAAAAACGTTTTGCTCCCATTTAGTGGACATCAGGATTTTTGCAACAAAGAGAGCTTAGTAATACCACACCATAGAGCAGAGGTCTTCAAACCTGGAAACTTTAAGACTTGTGGAATTTGGGGATTTGAAGTCCACAAGTCTTAAAGTTGCCAAGTTTGGGGACCCCTGCTATAGAGTAACACAAACATAAGATAGAAACTTTCATATTGTAAGGAAAAACTTTAGAACAATTGAAGATATTACTTTTTATTGATATATTTATTGCTCGCCTTTATTATTTTTACAAATAACTCAAGGTAATGAGTTATTTGTAAAACACCTTCTCCTCCTATTTTACTGACAATAACAATTCTGTGAGGTGGGTTGGGTTGAGAGAGAGTGATTGGCCCAAAGTTACCCAACTAACTTTCCTGGCTAAGGTGGGACTTGAGTTCATGGTCTCCTACGTTCTGGTGCCTTAACTACTAGAGTAAACTGGCTCTCGACAGCATACATCATTTGTTGAATAAACCACAGATGGCCAGGTGCTTACAATGCACTAAGCCATAAACAATAGCCTATACTACATTACTAGTTCACACAGTGTTTCAAGCTGAAACTGAACATATTATGACTTAGCATGGTGATGAACCCAGACACTGAATATGTATTTTTCTTCCAAGGAAAAACACTAGTGCTGTCAATAGGGCATGCTGTTAGGAGTTAGAGTACATAATGTCTTTCTGGGAAGAAAACAATAGATATAAAAGAAGTATTCCCTTTGAAATGTAACACTGAAGAACAAGAAGTAATTAACAATGAATGCAAGTTTCTGGGGTACAGTGTGGAAGTGAATTCATGAAAAAGATGTCTCTTATTTCATTATTCCTCATTTGAATAGAGCAGATATTTAACGTTTCATATTTGACCCATCTTTATAGATTTCACCTCCCTTCCTCCAGCCAGGTGAAAGGGTTAAATTATGTAGAAAGAAGGCATGTCTTTTTGTTGGAAGGAGGGGCTCATTGGCTTCTTCCCATTTGATTCTTCTGAAAGAAAATGATGTTCCCTAAAGCAGGGTTCCCCAACCTCTTGGCCGTACCTACTAGTGGGCCATGAGCTATTTGCAGCCTGACTACAGAAATGGCGGGTGAGCATGTATGCATTCCTACTTGCGTGAGCGGTGGGCACATATGCACGCCGCTTGCGCAAATGGAGCTGCATGACAGCTGCTTGCCAGCTGCTCGTATAGAACCAAACCCTCCCCCCATTGCCAGTTGCAAAGCCAGAAAGGTTTTGGGAACTCTGTCCTAAAGCAGAGGGTTCCAACCTTGGTAACTTTAAGACTTGTGGACTTCAACTCCCAGAAATTCTCATGTTGGCTGCGGGATTCCGAGAATTGAAGTCCACAAGCCTTAAAGGTTGGATACCCCTCTCCTAATGTGTTTCTGAATTATTTCCTCTTGCTAGCCTTGGTGTATGTTGAAATAGAGTTTCCACTTTCTCTGAAGTTGATGAGAATTAGGGTGGGTTATGTCTGTATAAAATAACATAATTAGGCTGTGTAACCTGCCTGAGAAATGGAACGGAGGTTTGTACCTCCTTGATCTTCGTGCCCCATTCACATTTTCAGAACACCATTGGGAACAACCTATCAACTTATTTTCCAGAGTTGTTTGCCGTGGACATGGATAGTATGTGTATGTACAATGCAAAATAAGTCTACATGTAATTTTTGGTGAGGAGATACCCACTGTAATTGCTTTGTGTTTTAATGAGATTTTCTGTTCCATTATTGTTAGGGATTTTCACAGAGGTCATAATTACCTGTTTGAATCCCTAAACCTTAGCTTGCACCTCCATTTTTTTCAACTCACAACAGGAATTAGATTTTAGATAAGCATAATGAATATTCAAAAGGTGAAGCCTCCAAAACAATGCAAGCCTGCGCTGTTCCGTTCTTCTGATAATTAGTTCTATTACACCTGATTAACTAGCTCAACTAGTTGAACTACAACCTCCCTCATTTCCAGTCAGAATGTCAATCACTTTCTGGTTAAGAGTTATGGAAATATTAGCATAAATTGAGGAAGATTACTTTAAGTTTTTGAATATAGTAACATGCATTGCCATTCTTTATCATAACATGGACTTTAACATGATGCATTTCTTGTTGGTTTGCCATAGACTCTCTTGGAGTGCCACCCAGCAGGAATAAATACTCATACCTGTTTAAACTTGCCAGATCACATTTCAGAAGAAGCGAGATCACTCCTTCAACAGGTAAATTATTGATGAATGTGTATAAATGTTGTACTGCTTGCTACAGTTAAAATCAGACTAACGCATGCCATATATTTTACTGAACATATCAAAAATATTCAGTTTAGTATATTACAAAAATGTAATAAATGGATTTGTTTTTTCACTCAGTGAAAATGACAGCCCCTCATCACCTTACATTGTTAATAAAATTAGCTTTGTTCTTTTCATACTTGATGTTGTAAAGGGTTTCCCATCTTTCCTATTTATCTGTAGAAGCTTTTATAAAAGATTTGGGAATAATGTTATTCAACGTCTGAAAATGTATTAATAGGATTGTGGTTTATCTTAATGTCTCCGGTAGCTACATCTTCATAGCAGTAAAATTCTGTATAATATAAAGAAACTTAACTATTAATGTGTAGGGTAGAAAACTTCTATAGTTTATACCAGGAAAACGTGAATGAACACTGGTCTTAATTATTTAACTTTGGAAAGAAGGAAAAGAATGATAGAGAAGTATAAAAGACCTATTTACCTGTTGTCACCAAGTACAGCTAGGGCATAAAATTGCTGCAGAAATCCATTGATTTATCTTTAATTATTTACCCTGACATAGATGATTTGGGAGTAAGGATATATTTTTAATACTAAAGTGAGCATAATCTATTAGGATTTAGAAGCATGCTAACACTTGGTTATTTTAATAAACTTTGACGATGGAGCCAATCTGATTTAGATCTGTCCTGTTGTATGAATGTTATGGTTCTTATATTTCGATCAGATCTAGTTTTTTTTTAAATTGTTAAAATTGTGGTTATTTTTATTGTTTTAATCTACTTATGTAGATAGGATTATAAACCATTTATAGTCAGTATTCAGTGGGAGTAGTAGAAAAGTCTCCTAAAATAAGTAAATAAGAATAAAAGTATACATATGCTATTTAGATAAATGACTTCATGTAGTTTTAAACTTGTAGAATAGAAGATATTTTATGCTCCACTCCAGAAAGGAGACTGCAAATGAATGGAATTTTACCCACTGGCATCTTTAGGAGTTTATTAAAGCAATACATAGCAACGTTTGGCACTTTATGCCAGACCATTTGTTATTTTCCCTCCTCCCCCAGGTTCAAGGTTACCCATGTCCAAAAGGAAGTGTTTCATCTCTGGGCTGCATGTGGCTGACTTTACAGTTGAAGAGTCTGCTCCATTGGCTAGTAAATCAACTTTCTTTTGTGTGTCTTTCTAAGGAAACTACCATTCATTTTTGAGGAAGCTTTGTCAGGAAAAGGAAAAAGGGACTCTTGGCATAGCAAGTCATTTGTCATTATGATTTTCCTCTTCCACCCCCTTCACAGGTTGCTTGGGTCAGCCCATCACATAATGTCTAAGAGAGGAACAGTGTGCAGATACATGCCAAATGTGTCCCATGACATGGATTTCAAAATCCGTGACCTCACTGAAAAAATAACACCCCACCCCGATCTAGCCAGCTAGAAGCTACGTACTTCAGAGGCATTATTTCTTATTTTGATTACCTGAAGATAGAGATGAAATTCTTAAGGCTCTCTTAATTGACATCAAATTTCTTGAAAGCTGCCCCAGTTAGCATAATAACCAGTCTTTTTTTGAATGATGCAGCTTTAATGCAGTTTATTTTGCATTTCCTTTCTCATATTAAAAGTTTTTTTCCCCTGTAACAGGGAAAGCCTTCAGAACATAAATGTCTTTGTACTTAACTTTTCCACCTGATATCAGCTGTTATATTTTCCAGAAGACGGTCGAGTGGCTGTTTTCTGACTGCTTATCTACTAACTCATGTATATTCACAAAGAAGGCTTGTTTTGTTATCTGAGTTATTTTACTAAGTGAGGTTAGAGCAGTTTTAAGTGGCAGAGCCAACTTAAGATGTGCAAATGAATACATTTTATGGGGAAATTTCTCACTTTGATTATTAGATGTATGCATATGAAGGCATGCGCCCCAAATAATACCAAAGACAACTGCATTATACTATAGTTCCCTTTAAAGGAAACTTAGAAATGAAATTATTCTTTTGAACTGCTTATTTAAAATGTGACAGACTCATAAGAAGGAAGAAATGTAAACTTCAGTTCCTTTATCCTTTGTAAATATTTTTATGCTTTGCTGGTTACTTCCTTTCAAACATTTTCCATCAGAAGTTGCAGATAAGAAGAGTTCACTTCACTTTCTATGTATATATTCATCTCCCTTTTGACTTTATTGTGGATTTTTTTTAAAAAAAACACCTACTTAGTATTATTACTACTAGCAATCAATCGTACCATTTCTTTACATTTCATATGTGAGTCTTTAGCTGCCAAAGCTCCTTGGGCCTCTTTGAAGACTTTTTTTTAGATAAATATTTTAATTGTCTAAAAAGCATCAGTTCCTCTTAGTTTCCTCTGTCTGATCTGATCATATTGGTTTCCACTGAAACCCCGTACTGGGGATACCCATCAAGCAGTGTTTTTATCTTTTTCCATATGATTTAAACAAATACTGTGTGTATGTAATGCAAATAGGGATACATTCTGTGACATACCTTCATTGTGCACCTGTATATCTTTGTGACTCCTGGCAACTGCCTGGACTTAATTCCTCATTTCTCCTGGCAAGATTTCAGAAGTGCTTTGCCATTGCCTCCTTCCTATGGCTGAGAGAGAATGACTGGCCCAAGGACGCCCAGATGGCATTGAGCCTAAAACATACCTGGTTTCTAGCCTGATGTCTTAAACATTGGCTGTCTCACACACCTTCATTAAAAACAAGTAAAAGGAAATTTAGTTTTCATCCAAACTAAATGGAGACTGTCCATCTTTTGACCTTGTATTTCTTGTAGGCTGATAAATATAAGAGGCAGTATAAAAATAATACTCTAAAAATGACAACAGGGTTTTTGATATATGTCAAAGAGTTTTCAGCGTGACTACGATTAGGAGGCAACCCAGGAACAAAACACAGCACACAGAGACTGAGACATTTAACAGTGATTTATATACAACATATACAGAAATATACATGATGGCAAATACAGTCTTCTTCTTAACTCTACATGGAGAACTTAACAATGGATACCGGACACAAGGAGAGAGAAATACGCCCTTTCTCCTGGCTGCCTTATATAAACACCTCTTAAAGTGGAAAATACTTTTGTGGACACCCTTGATTGTCTTCAACTGGCTATACCAATGCAGATTCATCTTCATTGCATCAGCCTTACATTTCATCAGCTTTACAGTTGAATCAGCTTTACAGCTGGTCAGCTCTTAAATCTCAGTACCTTAACAATTCAACAGTTATTTGCTGACATATTCTTTTTCTTCCTCTTAATCTGTATTTACGAACCAATAAGTTCAGGATTATTTCAGAAACAACTAAGGTTTAAAGGAACAAATATTTGACAGCTTGAAACAAAATTACCGGCTGTTAACTGTCATTAATAACTCTCACATATAATGTAATAAGTTCTTGTTGCAGCTAATCATCCAGATAAAAATACATATATTCTCAAGCACTGGTTTTGTCTTCCTAGGCCTCTCCCCCCCCCAATATTAGACAATTATGAAAATGTGTTTCTCTTATCAGTAAGTCTTCTGGAAAAAGAACAGAGTAGGATCAAATTTAGTATTATGGGAGAAGCTGGCAAAAGAAGACCAAGTTTGAAACAGACTAGATTCAGCTGAGAAGCAGTAGAGGCAAAAAAAAAAGCAGAAGAAACCCCCAGAAATATATATCCATATGGGAGAGGTCATGAACAACAGCTTGAAATCCTGCTTTTCTCACTCCATCTTCCTCCTCCTTCATCACTTGATTCAGAGCAGAACCTATGCAGTTCACTCTGTGCTTCCTGGTGCACATACACAGAAATGCAACACGAAGAAGAGGATAAACATACACTTAAATAGATGCAACATGTTACTTATAAAATTGAATACAGATGCCTCCTATGTCTATTTTTGGTAAAGAAAAGTATTCCAGAAGCCATGCTCTACCTTCCTCACTACATTTACACAACAGCCAATATTTTATCTGAAATACTTTAATTCTGCCCGCTTTAATGAGCTATGACAAGTAAAGTTTTCATATTTCATTTTTATTACATGTTTACTCAGATAAATTTCTAGTGTTCTAATTAAAAACGTGTGTTTTCTCCAGTCACTTAAAAACATTATACTTCAGTAGCCTAGGCCTTACAAGCAAAGTGCAAAGATCTAGTACAGCTTAAATTTCACATGTAATCAGGTTTAGTGAAAGCAAATCTAAATACGACAGGAAAGCCACAAGCATAAAGTTACGTACTGGTCTGCTTAAATATACTGTATAATAGGTAACCACGTATAATTATGTTTAGAGATTGGGATAACATACAGATATTGTAAAATTAATGTCAGTCAGTATAGGTAGTCCTTAATTTACAACCATTGGTTTAATGACAAAATTATGATGGCCTTGGGGACAAGCACTTTTGACCTGTACTCTCACTTATGGTGATTGCACTAGCCCTATAGTCATCACAATTTGGTTGCTTGGCAGTTGACTCACATTTATGATTGGTTGCAGCATCCTGCAGTCACATGATCACAATTTGCAACCTAGGGAGTTGCTTAAAGGAACGTGAGAAATAGCAAGGATATGGCCAGTCCTTCCTTGTCAAATCATCTTGCAGATTTGTTACATTGTTTACAGAAGTCTATGGAATATTCTTTATTGCCAATTAAACATACACACAGCTTCAGATAACAAATTCAAGATAAGTTGCAATTGTAAATCTTTCACCAAAGTAACATGAAGCATACTGTAAACTCAAAGGTTTCTGTGTAGAAAATATTCACAAGAGCTTAGAAAAAAGTTCAGGAAGATTGAAGTATAGTCTTTTCCTGGTCTAAAATAATAATTAATCCAACAACAACATACAGTCAGAGTCACAGGTAGGAGATAAGTTTGCCTCCAATAGCCATCTCTGCAAACTATCTCTCAGTTTGATTAATAACGTTTCTTTCTTTCATGCAAAACACTTGATTTCCTCTGCTGTCGCTTAATTTGCAACATGTTGCTGGGCTTGGGACTTTTGACTGCATTCTTAATCGTCTGATTTAGGTGTTCTCATCAGCTAATTCTTGTTGCAGGCTGAGATTTTAGACTGCAAAGTCTTCAGTTTATGAATCTGAAGATTCAGACTGATCAGTTTATACTTAGGATAGGTCTGTGATGGTGAACCCATGGCACGTGTGCCACTGGTGGCACACTCTGCCCTCTCTGTGGGCAAGTGAGCTGTCGTTCCAGTTCACTTTCTCCATGCATGCACGTGCACCTACTGCTGGCCAGCACGTGTGCAGGGGGCCGCGTGCACATGCGTGGGGGGGAGGCGCATGTGAGGGCATGTCATGTGCGGGGGCGGTGCATGGCATGTGTGGGGCACATACGGGGGCCCCACCTGCACATTCACAGGGGCGCCCCCACACGTGCATCACATTTTGGGGGGTTGTGCGCATGCACGCTTTGGGCATTCAATCCGAAAAAGGTTAGCCATCACTAGGGTAGGTGATTCTTCAGAAGACATGCTTTATGAATCTAGAACTTTCTTACATCAACATATTCATCTTGACAGGTTAGGAAAGGGTTCAGTAAAGAGTAATCTTGGCAGGATAGAAGAACTGATAGTGTTTTGTATGAATATGATATCGACAAAAGAGAATTGGTGATTGGATGCTGAGATTTTTAAACATTTTTACAGGTTTTTTTTTAATTTAAAAGGAATAATAACCTGTGATATATGAAGAGAACAGAATTTGTGTGGATTTCTCTATAGGAAAGAGCATTTACCTTCCTATAAAATTTATGTAGACATCCCCATTACTTTCTATATTTAGTGGCTATCAAGGAGGTAATTGCCTTAAACTATATATGTTTCCTAGGTGAGGGCATTTTTGGCAATTTTTGTTGAGTTCTTTAGGAGAAGATTAGTCTGAGAGTGAAATAAATAAACCCCATTACATTTCAATAATAGAATCAGTTGCTTCAGTTTACTGTCTTGACCTCTGCCAGATGTTTCAAATACTGTTATATATGTTTGTTGTATTATTCCAATACTTTACACTCTTCTATAGCATTGGCATTGCTTACCCTCACGTAAGCAAGGGAAATCAAGCATAATACCAGGCTATACTGGGTACTTATTTATAAAAGCTCTAAAAAAGAACCAGTTTTGAAGAAACAGAAGTTAACAGCACATTTGTTTTTGTTTTTGTCTTTCAGTCTCGGATATTTAACACCTATTTAAGTTGATCAGTAGCATGGAAACCATTTCAATATGGTTGATCACATGCTGCATTATTCAATCTGCATGTTCTCCACATAATGTCAGGTGATGTAATTAGCTCCTAGATTAGTAATTGTGGAATTGCTGTGGAAGATGGAAGAGAACATGTTTTAAAATATACCCAAATCATCCTCCTAATCCACATTTCCAGAGTAATCGATATGTAAAAACAGATTCCAACAAACAGGCTGTTATAGTGCAATAATAATGTAGTAATGATAAATGTCTTAGAGAAAAGAGGATGGCTAACTATATGATAAAACTGGAGCTGTAAATATGAGAGGCCACTATCCTGATCTTTTCCCATTTCTTTTTGCTAGTGCTGTGTTAGTGTGCTAGTGTTTTTTTAATGTGCTAGTGTTTTTTAATAGCCATATGGATAAAAAGTTAAGTTTATTATAAATATTATTGAAATGTAGGCATTAACTCCAGAGGATGCAATCCTCTATGCCAATGAGAAATTACCAGAGAAGCTTGGGTTGATTGGTGTGTTCTTTTCTTTTCAGCTTTTGCAATTCAATTCTGTGGAACGTCTTGGCGCTGGAATCGCTGGAGTTGAAGACATCAAAGCACACCCTTTTTTTGCCACCATTGATTGGACAGAATTAGCTAAGTGAAAAACTGTACAGGTTGTCTATGCTTGGGCTGCAGATTTCCAACAGACAATACTCTTGGCTTGCTGCCATTATGAAGATTTTAGATGTTTCCAGACCAGGATGAATAAATTGGTAATTGGAATCCAAACACCATCTGAAGGGCTTAAGCTTGAGTGGACAAAAGAAAGGTGTGGTTCACACTGCTAGGAACTGACTTCAGTTCTTCTTTTGTGTTGGAATCATGTGCAGCGCTAATTGCAGGGCATTACAAGGGGTTGCATGTCATGTATTTCCTTACCCCCATTTTAAATCATGGGAATCTGGATGGAAAAGATTTGACACCATTTTTGGCAGTAGCCCTGTGACTGAAGTCACATCCAGCTCTGGTGTTGGTGGGGAATAATGCAAATGAGAATGGACTCCTTGTATTTTGCTTAATTTTAAATGATGATGAATTGTGGAATTTCTGTTGTACATTCCAGTGTCTATTGTCTATGCCATTTGAATAGAGGTCCTTTTTTTTATACTTCGGTAGCCTTGGCACAGTTGAATTTAAGTACACTGGAGAACAGGGAGAAAAATAACTTATCAATAACATATGCTAAATAAAATACTGTGGTGCTTCTGCAAAACTTGACATTTAATATGTCTAATTTGGAGGGGATGGCAGGAGAATGAAAGCTAGTATCGTGCAATGTAATTCCACAATAGTTAAGTGTCATCTCTTAAAGAGTGGGAAAATGTAATCTAGCTATTGCTATTTTGCGCTTGTTGGTTGCAATGTTTGTTTTAAAGCACTAATTTTAACCTCAAGTTTTAAATCACTACAAGATCAAAAATCTCTCATCCAGATAATTATTACTTTAGTAATTTAAATGGTTCAAGACAATAGAATGCAGAAAAGTGTATGGGTATATGGATATATGGAAAGCTAACATTTATTGTATGGAAAATCATGCTTTCATATAACTCTAATATTTTTACGGTAGGCAGGTATTGTTTTTTTCTTACATGAAAAATGTTCAAGTTTGCAGAATTCTACTTACATGTACATGTGTTTTTATTTACCCATGTGAATTCTGAAAATGTTTTAGCTTCTCAATTTTGTTACAACTTTGTTTCTTCGTTTAGAAACATTATTTTATGTGTTTTATCATTGTGAATCCCTCCTAAGGAGGAGAGTCTTTAAACAACTGTTCTAAGAAAATTTGGGAGTTTTATATTAAAGTGCTCTATCAGAAAGAATATTTGGAAACCTTTCACAAGCACTGGTGCTTCACAATTGGAATTCCATTGTATGTGCCAAGAACAGGCCCAACTGAAAAGGGATGGATGAGATGTCTACAAGGGATTGCTTGTGCTTTTCGTGAATATTGTTTTCTTAATATATTTGCCAAGAAGCTATTTCAGAAGTCTGCTGACTTCTGATACCATTGGAATAATGGTGATTTGGCTGTTGGTCATTAATCTGTTGATAATTTTGTCAAATGGAAACACAGACCCCAAAAATTGAGAATAGAACAACCTAAAGTTAATATGTACTTAAAATAAAGGCTCGCTCTTTTAAAAGGTTGTTGTGTTAGTACATGTAAAAACATTCTGTAATAACTACTTTAGGATGACTCATTTGAGATATTATGCTCTGAAAGCATATATTAAAATACCATACAAACATGTGCCTGGTTACTTCCTTAAATTCATCCTAACACTGGACTGCTGTTTCAAGATTACAGGAAAAGGATTAAATTTTTTATCTTCAACTGTAGAAACGAAGAGCTTTTTGCTTAAAATGAAATCAAAGTCCCCAAAGTTTAAGAAGTGTCAAATCATTTCCAGGAATATTGATCAGGTTGGCAATTCCCTAATGGGACATATAGCAAAAAGAATCAGATGATCTGAAAATTATAAACACCAGTATTCTTTTATCTGTGTAAATGTATACAATCTGGTCAGTTATAGGATGCCTATACACTATTGTATAGTACAGTCTCTGGCCTGTTTATTTCCCTTAGTTTTATCTGGAGATGAAAGGGTAAATTTCTTTGGTAAAGAAATATTTAGGTTTTTTTTTTTAGTAATTCCTGCTATTCTTCCTAGTTCATGCTGGAACCTAAGATTTTTACAGGCCATTCCCTATGTGCATCTGACAGGCTACATCTGTTGGAAGCTAGAACTGGTGCTACTATAAAGTGGAAAAAGGAAAAGACTTCATCGATCCAAAGGAAATCTGGAAGCTCTGTTTGGTTCCTTTTGAAATTATCCTGCTCCTGTTTTCCCCCACCTCCACCCCTTGTGATAAAAACACAAACCACGGGACTGTAATAACACTGTAGGCTGTAACCAGGTCACCAAAAGAATTACTATTATGGAGGGCTATCTGATATTACATCATTCTCCAAAACTTCATTTGAACAAAACTCTTCCACTGCTACATAACAGGAACTCCCTCAGGTGAGCTGCGACAACAACTTCCTGTGCTGAGAGGTGAGGAAATTTCTGAAGCTGAGAGAAATGCAGAGCTTCCTTCCAGCAGTGGCCGTGTGATGGTTTTGGAAGGGAAGAAAACTTCCAGTTGTGACCATGAACCTTCACCCATTCTTTATTGTTGGAGTTTTGAGTCTTTCTAGGACAGTCTTCTCTCCAGCAGGATGTTGGGAATTACAGTCCCAGAGCAAGTAGAAGGAGTAGGCTTTTGGTATATATGTCCTTCTAGCAGAGATTCTTAAGATTACTGTACATTTTACTTCTGAAACAGATAATTATTTTTTTCCTCCCTATAAAAAAGAATAAATGAACGAAAACAAACGAGGGGAGAATAGCAGCATATCCAAAGATGTGCTATATGCTGAGGAAATTGATGCCTCTTTGCTCACTCCTGAAACCTACTCTGGAAGATGGGATACCCCTAGAACAAAGAGAGAGGAATATAGCAGGGTGGGAAGGGACAGAAGCTTCATTGCATAGGCAGATGCCCATTTCTTAGCCTCAGATATTACCCAATGTCTGCCTTCATAGTGGTCTCCGCTGGTAACTCACCAGTGAGATTTACAAATGATCTAACTACATTGTCAAAGCTTACTGCATCTTACAAAGTGCCTGTAAACATACATGTCTTCCAAGGAAAAATAAGGTTTTTCTGCTTTGGTGGGACTTAAGATATTAAAAATGCCTCTCTGCTAGCCAACAAAATTTCTGGAAACTAAAAATAAAGAGAATGATTTGTTGGGAAAAGTTGATGGAGAGGGTGCCGTGTATAACTTATTTGTAAATTTTAATTATGATGTAAAATATTTGTAGCGTGGTAACTTTAGTGGGATAATCTGAGGAAGTGTTAATGTGAAATGCGCGCATAAAGTTTATTCCACAATCATCTGGAATTGGTAGTTTAAATTTGGTTTGGAATCGAATCTTAAAAATCTTTGTCAGAAGCAATTTGCTAAAGTGGCTTACAAGGACGGGAAAATGTAGGCCTTTGGAGTTTATGCAGCCAATCGAGTGTAGAACAAAGGAGGGCATTTTAGAAGACCAACACCCTCCTTTCCTAGCCTCCTCAACTCTCCTTGTCTTCAGAAGGAAGCAAGAATTCTTCCATGACTTTTCCACTTTGGTATTGGTAGTGGAACAGGGCTAGTCTCATTCTTCTTTTGTAGAATGACTATATTGAAGCCTTCTATATGTGTGAAAAAGTAGACAATGTTAATAATGCACTTATTTTCACAAGTGAAACTAAAGCAGAAATCATGAACAAGAGGGAGAGAGCCATAGGTTCACAGAACCCCTATAGTAGAGGAATATTTCCCAATGCTTTTGGGCAAGAGCTAAGCAAAACCCACGAAACAACTAAGTAAGATCACTCATATTAGTTAAAATGAAATTTCAATGATCCCCCAAAAATACATTTAGCTACCTAGCTAGTTCATTCGTTCGTTCATTCATTCATTCATTCATTCATTCATTCATTCATTCATTCATTCATTCATTCATTCATTCATTCATTTTAATTTCTATAGCCACCCAGCTCAGTCAATGCCTCTGGGTGGCTTACTTTCTTGCATAACTACTCAAAATCTTTTGGAAGAAAAACCTAAGGATGCAATCAAGTAAAAGACAAGACTGAG